ACCTTATCTAGGCAACATAAATTTCAATTTCCCCATCACCGTTTACCATGACTAATTTTTTATTTGGTATATAGTGATAGTTTGTGTCATGAATATATATTTTTGGTCTTACATAAAGTAAATCTAAAAACCAAATTAAATTATATGAATTATTTACTAAAAACTCAGAAATAGGAAACAATAAGATATTGAGTTTTTGAACACTCTTATGTTTTTCTAAATATAAATTCAAATCATTGGTACTAAAGCTTTTGTTTATATGCCTAAGGTTTCCACAATTCTCTACTTCTATTATAGTTTGATATGAATTTTTTACATCCCGTAAATCCCAAAAATGAATACTATATTCAGAGAGTTTTTTAAATAAATCATCATAGTAGAATATTATATTTTTTTTATATTTCAACGTCCAGACATTGGCTTTGAAAGGTAACCTAAACTGTTCAATATAGTTTTGCTTGATTGAATATAAGTAGTTTATAAAATAATCATTTGTTTTCAAAATATATTTTTCTATAGTTGAAATAAAGCTAAATACTTTTAATATAACTTCAGTTTTATCAACTGGTAATCCAATTTTCATCATTCTTTCATAAAATTCTACAGAATCTCCCCTCTTTCTTTTATTCTCTTTATAAAATTTATTAAAAATAGGTAATACATAAGAAAGTAAAAGTTCACCATTTGAAGAGAAATTTTCATCTTCCCCTAGAACATTTTGTCGATAGCTACAAGTTGCATTAAAAGAACTCAGGTTTTCATATTCATAATATGGTCTAGAATTGCACACAAATGCATAATCTTTTTCAGAAGTATTTTCTAAGATATAACTACAAAACTTTTTTATGAAAATTTTAAATCGTCTATCAAATGATACCTTATCATCATAAAAGTTTTCAATTAACTGTAAAAAATATTTAAAAAACTTTTCAATAAAGATTTTAAATTTTGGATTTATTCTTTTAGCTAACCCTGCCATTTTAATTTGACCATTTCTTAATTTCATTATATAATTCTTCTTTTCTGCTAAAAATATCGTTGTTGTTGCTTCATAATCTAAAGTTAATGATATCATGTCCAAACCCAAACCCTCTTTTATGTATTTATTCAATACACTTGCAACATCAATATCAAAACTGGGTTGTAAAATAAAAAGGGAATCAGTATCTCCATATACAACAGTCATTTTTAAATCATTTTCAATGTAATTTTTTATTTGCGAGTGAATCTTTCTCCCATATGATGTTACTAGTGCTGCACACGAAAGATCACGCATACGCCCCTTTGATGCCAACAGTCCATATATGGAGTTGGCTATAAGTTTATAGGCTTTATTTAAATAAAGATTTTTTGTATTTTTCCTCTGTTCTATTAAATATTCAACTACTACAGCCAATGGAGATTTTATATACTCTCTCTTTATAGTATAAAACTTTTCCATTTTGTTAGTCTTTTTAAAAAAATCATTTATTAAAGGAGAGTTTTTATTGACATTATCAATAACATAATTGGGACTTATATTAAATTCACGAATAATACTAGGATATAAAGACGTAAAATCAACAACTGAAATGTTTTTGTTGTTGTATATAGTTCGTTGAGCTTTTAAAACTGTTGCTCCTCGATATTGTTTATTAACTACTGAATCAAACATATCACCACAAAATACATAATCATTAACACCTCTATTTGATATTAGAGGAACACACATACCTTGTGAAGGGTACATTATTGATGTAAACTTACTTATAATTTTTGAAGTAGCTTTGCACATATAATCAACTGTATCACAAAAACATATACTTACTAGAGGCATAAGATGGTAAAGAATTTCTTTTTTTGCATATATTTCTACTGCTAATTCAGAATCAAGTGTCACATAGTCACATATTTGATACAAGAACTCTAAACCCCACTCTATGTATATATCATTGTATTGATAATATTGATTTAGCTTCTCAAAAGACATGTCTAATTTACTTTTGCCTAATTCTATTTCTGCTATATTGTTTAGTGAAAAGGAACTATATTCGTTTGCATGCATACGCTTTAGATAAACCATTACGTCAATTATTTGAAAACGTTCACAACATACTAGAGGCATTTTTATCCCAAGTAACATTTTGTTTACATCTTCTATATTATAATAATCTGTTACCAGTCCTAGAATTATCATTCTATTTAAAAGAACTGGCAAATCAAACTCTAAAATATTATAACCAACTAAAAATGGTGTCTTTAAGTCATTTTTTAGAAAGTCACACACTGATTTAATAAGATCTCTTTCTTTAAAAAAAATTATAATAGACTCGATTTGATCTTTTATTTTCAAAATTTGTAATATTTGGATTAGGTAAGAGTAAAAAACACTATCTCCAACTCTTTTTCAAATTTCTTACCAAAAACAGTGCCTATAACAAATGAAACAGAAACTATTCTTTCGTCTAAACTTGCCCCATTAGGAATAATTCCATATTCTCTCTCCTTTACAACCTCTATGTCAAATGAACAAACTTTATGTTTTGGTATTGTGTCAAATCCAACTAGTGTTTGATTGTCATTATCTATATTTTGTAAAATTCCATAATAAAGGAAGTCTTTATTTTCTCGTTTTTTTAGTTCAAAATATCTCTGTAATGGAGAAGAGGTAAAATTTATATCAAATATACCAAATAGGGACTTGTTATAAGAAAGAAACTGTTCAAGTCCTGAAAGTATGTTAGCATTAAACACATGAATGAATGTTGATAAACCCCTTAGGAGGTCAACTGAAACAACATCTTCAAATGTTATTTGAGACTGTGTCCTTAAGTTTATTAATTTATTATTGTATGTAATTTTATATATGTGTTTACCAAAAAAATTATAAACATTCTTTTCAAATTGTTCCTTTTTATTTGTACATATTAATAATTGTAAATAGTAGCAATTGTCTTTATTTAAGTTTAAACTTTCCACTTTTCATGTTTTAAATCATTATCAAATCCAATATAGTCCCCTTATTGTTTGTCCATTTAGTGACAAAACAACTCTCGACTTTATTCATGAGTAAGGATAATAGCATATGTACAACATATTTATATTTATAAAAATGTTTGAAATAATATTATTATTTATAATTGTTATAATATTTATATTAAAACCAAATTTTATAAATTTTGACTTACCAAAGTCAAATATTAAACATTTTTGTGACAATTTTGTTGGAACTTGGAATGGTGAAAGTTGTATTTGTAAATATCCTAGTTTTTTAAACTAATAACCACTATAATGGTAACTGTGATAAGATTGTTGATACAAATTGTAAAAGAATACTTACTTCTAATGGTAAATTATTAAACTTTAAAACTCATAATCCCTATACTGAAGGAGTTTGTGATTGTAAAGATGATTACTATTATGATATTATAACTCATAAATGTATTTTACGTAAGTTGAACACATTAATTTCTTCTTCCTCAAAACCAAATAAATGTGAAGATGGATATTATTATGATGTAAAATATCATATATGTTTAAAAAAATTATGTTCATGGGATATTTTGTTTCCCCTTGAAAGAGTAGATCAAGTGAGTATATCCAAAACCACATGTAAATGTAGTTTTAAAGATGGATTTATACCTATTTCACTTGCAAATGGTACAGTTGGCTGCACAAAACTCCTTAAAAATATAAGTTGGTCGAAAAATCATATAATCCTTTTAGAAAAAGTAAAAGAAAAGAAAAAAGATGATAAAGATTGGAAAATATATCATTTGTACCCTTTAGCAGCACTTAAAAGTTACCTACGAAATTTTTATAACATTGAGAGTGACACTGGAACCACTATGTTTGCTGTAGAGCAAATTCATGGTAACTGGATGAGTGATTTACTTTCTAAAGGAGTAACTATTAATTCACAAGAAGACTATACTAAATATGATTCAGCTTAGGATTTTATGATTCATCTTCAAATCAATTAACTATTAAAATTAAAAATGAGTGATATATCAATTATATTTCTTGTTATTATATTTATTGTTATATTTATTATTATTAGATAATGATTCAAAAATATTTTATATACACTATTAATAAAAAATTAGATATAATCTTTCCTTATAATGAAAATAATAAAGAAACAATCAAGCTGAAAACATTCAAATCGATATATAATACTGATCAATCCTTTACAGTTGATACTTTTAAATCAGAGTTTAAAGTGAAACAAAAAAAACCATTTTAAAAATTGTAAAATGGGGTGATGATGGATTTGAAATATATCAAATGAAAATCTAATAATTAGAAGGAAGTGTTTAGATGGGTTTTATTATACAAGAAATGGGTGTTCAAATACTCAATTATGTTTAAACAAACCCAAGGATGAAATAGTAGGAGATGATTTAAGAAACATATATTTTACCATTGTGATGGTCATAATGGGGTTAAGAATGTTATTTTGGATTTTAATAAAAACTCTAAAGATATAGAGGTTGTAGATAAGATAAATAATGATGATAAAAATAAGAAGGTTCATGGAAATTGTAATTCACAACTATCCATTCCAGTGAATATTCCCAACACATGGTCTTCTTCTACAATGTACAAGCAATGTATTGATTATTTTTGGAATTTTAAATTTTGTCCTAAAGCGAATAATTTTAACAACTATTCAAAAGTTTTAGAGGAAATTAGAGAATCATTTGATTTAGGTATTTTGTATCACCCCCTTTATGTGGATTCAATGGTGTTTGATGAAAATGAA